CCGCGCCACGAAATCTGCACTTCATCCCCGACACCCGCGCCTGCCACGAAATCAATATTTTAAGGTGAACTCCCCGGTGCAAAATGTTCTCTCTATCTCTCTATCTATCTATCTATCTATCAATCCATTTATCTTTCTATCTTTCTATCTGTCTTTCTGCAGTTCAACATCCACAAAGTACTACACCTGCCACGAAATCTGCACTCCAAGGCCCACAAAGTCCTGCACCTGCCACCAACTCTACACTTCCACATCAAAAACTCCTGCGCCTGCCACGAAATCTGCACTCCAAGGCCCACAAAGTCCTGCACCTGCCACCAACTCTGCACTTCCACATCCACAAAGTCCTGCACCTGCCACGAAATCTGCACTTCAAGGTCCACAAAGTCCTGCGCCTGCCACCAAATCTGCACTCCAAGGGCCACAAAGTACTACACCTGCCACGAAGTCTGCATTTCAAGGTCCACAAAAAGTCCTGCGCCTGCCACGAAATCTGCACTCCAAGGCCCAGAAAGTCCTGCGCCTGCCACTGGCCACCAACTCTGCACTTCAACATCCACAAAGTCGTGCACCTGCCACGAAATGTGCATTGCAAGGTCCACAAAGTACTGCACCTGCCACGAAACACTATGACTACCACTACGATACTGCTGCCATTATAGTACTGTTGCTACTCTTACTGCTACTGCAATTTGGAATATATCTTTTTGAGTCAAGTTATTTTAGTGATGCGTGCATAATATGTTTTATTGATACGTTAAATATTTTTTTGGTTGATCTCTCAACCCTTCAAGCGCAGCTCATCTCAAGCTGCGCTTGAACACGGCACGCGGATCCGATCTTCCCTCTGTCCCGACCACCTTCAAACCCAGCAATGACCCAGAAGACTACCCAGAAGCTTTGAATACACCTGGAACAAAAGAAACAGAAGGATTTCCCACCCATACACCAGTTACGGGTGCTCAGTGTGGCTCTTGCAAACGGCGCTCGCGCGCTCCATGACTTGATCCTGATCTCAACACAAGGGAGCTGAAGAAGGAAGCGCAAGTTATCTCCTAGCAGGAGCTTGTCCCAAAACAAGGGAGCTCCCTATGTCGTTGTCATTTGGTCTTCCTATACCTGGTTCTTGCTTTCGTCCCTCCTTTGTGAAACGCGCTTGCCTAGCAGTTGACAGCAGCTGGTGTCTGTCTCGGATGCATAGCTCCTCCGCCTCTCCAGCGGTGCGGTTTTGTTGAAGTCGCAGCCGCGTGTGCAATCGACCTGCAGATCGGATCGGTGGAGGAAAGCCCACCGTTTCGCTCTCTCACGGTTTTCAGCCCACCGTTGAGCAACCCGAAGAAAAACCCAAGTTACACAAAGAGACCTCGCATTTTCTCCCAAGACGTTCACCCCAAAAAAATGAAAGCAAATGAAAGCAACAGCAATTCTGTGGCTTTCTTCATGCAATTCGGACATTTACAGTACCTTGTTGGAAACAAAAAAGAAACAAGAATACGACTCCCGGTGGCGCGCGTGGCGCTGATCCCTTCCGTGTCCCTTCCGTGTCCCTTCCGTGTCCCTCCCCGGCCTTCCGCGCCGAAGCAACGGGTCGCGACGCCGAGGCCGAGGCTTCGGCTTCGCTGGTGCGAAAGGCTCGGTGTGCAACGCAGGCGCATGGCGAAAGGTCAAGGACTGGATTTGCGCAGAGAACATGCAAACATGCGAAGAAGGCGGAAAAAGCTTTCTGCGGATGTGCCCGGTTCTTTTGGAGCGGTTGGTTTCTGGGAGATCTCCCCAAAGCAAGAGAAAGATACAAGTCTATTGTCTATATATGCATGTCTATACAGCTAGCTATTTGATAGATGGTTCAATACAGAAACAAACATTAGGTGGGGGGTCCTCCTAGTCTCACACAAGCCGATTCCGTTGGAACACCGGTGCAACTGCATCAAGGTATTCACTCCTTGGTTGAGACGAGCCTTGGTGGCTACCCTTTCTGCGAACGGATCTGGAATGATCTGGACATCCTGCAGGCCACCTTTGGGCCGAAGAACAAGCGCTGCGGCGAGTGGTGGTGCTCTGGTAGGCATCTAGCACACCCCACAAACCGTTTCCCCGCCTGGCGCCAGGTGAAACCATCACGCCACGAGCTCGTCTTTCTTTCGGGGGCCACGCGATCCCAATGTGCCACGCGATCCGATCTACAAAAGGCCTTTGTCGTCGGAGTCCGGAAAAGGTCGAGCCAAACTAGCAAGCCTACTTTAGCCATTGCAGTCTGAAACACAGTGCTCAGAACTTGAGAGACTTCTTTCATCTGCTTTCTCAACTAGTTGGGCTCTGAATCTATTTTACGAAACACCTTCCATGCATGTTGTGAAAGCCTCGCCAGGGCAGAAAACCGAAAACCTCGGCAGGGCCTGGGCATCTCATTCGGACATGCAACACATCAGTTGCTCTATTTATTTGCGCCTCCATAGGCCACACATCCATCTATTCGCTGCTGTCCCAGGGCCTCCGCCCGAACATCCGCCCGAACCCTTTGCTCGCTCATGTCGTCCGTAAAATTCAGCATGGTGACGGCGCGAACGGTGGTTCCGCCAGCGGTACAGGGTTGGGCTGGTCTGCGCTCTTCAAAAGATGTAACTCACTTGTTGAGAATCGAAGTGGCGCAGACTTCAAGGCCTCACAGCGTTTTCTCGCCGTCTTCAACCCCCTACCACATGCCCTTCGTTCGTCGTCCAAAAGTAGGTGGAGCAGGTCGCAGCAGGTGGAGCACTTTGCATTCCACTGCCGACTGCTTTGGGTGCTCGAACGGCCGCTAGAAGGGATGGTCCAAGCAGGTCCCGCAAACATCTGCGATTCTGCGAAGCTTTTGTTCCAAAACAGGCACTTGTTTCTCCGAGTTTCACCTGCGAAACCTTCAGGATTGGACGGATGTTAGCCATCCCTCATATGGCCCGACGTGTGGCCACGTGCCACTGCAGGCTTTGGGGGAGTTCCTTTCATCTGGACGTTGGCTTACGTATAGTCTTAAGTCCAGACTGAACTAGAAACTGTGTTTTTCTCCCTTAGCCTCAAGCAAAAGGTCCCGCAACGGCAAGACGTTTTGGTGGCACAGCCCCTGTGCGGCTGTGTAGTGCTTCCTGGTGCTTGTGTGCACCTGGCATGAATTCATCAGGGCATTTCGCCTGGTCGGTGAAAAGGCCCGTCCTGAGCGGAAGTTCCACCGGTTTTGTGTCTCGTCTACCCGCCCTGTAAGCATCCACGACCTGAAGGGCCCCAACGTTTCAGATGTGCTGGCGCTTGGGATTCAGCCATGTACAAGAAGTTCAGCCATCTTTTTGGGGGGCATAGAAGGAGCAATCAAGTACATTCACGCCATGAGCATTACAAAATTGAACCTTGACCCCATCTCGCTTGGACATCTTGCTGGACTGCAGGGGAAATTGAAGCACTCGAGACATCCAAAGACTCTCTTGTTCGGGACAACAGAAGCGGTACAACCCATGTAAAAGCTACTAGTAACAAGGGCATCGCTACTAGTAACAAGGGCATTACGACTAGTAGCAAGCAGCTACGAACGTCACAAGGGTATCGCTACGTGTGTCTCCATTGCTTTGATTCTCCTCCAAAGGCCCAACCGTCCATCACCGTCCATCGCCCGGTGCCATCGGTCCAACCTCGTTGGAACGACCCGTGGCTTCGTGTCCAGCGCCCCGGGACCGGGAAACCGGCGGAACCGCGGTGTGCGGTGCTTCCGCGGTGGTGAGAGTTCACCCCGCCCCCCCCGCCGGCCCCCTCACCTCCATCCTCACCTCGATGGGAAGCAGGTGATTCAGTCCACTAGAGTCCACCTGGACTGAGGCGTTGGACGTCTGACACCTCTTCGGCTGAGACATGTAGGTTGAGACAGGTGAAGTGACTTTATAGGACCCGTCACCTGGGAGACCGGGATATCTATAGGGTCCTTCAACCTCTGTTTTTGGTAAACTGGGACCCGAACTAGTGGTACATACATGATAGGCTTTGAGGCTGTTCAACCTCTCTTTTCGAAGGTTCAAAGGTAATTGAAAAAACGCCAGCACAGGTGGCACAGGTCGATGCAAGGAAGAAGCCACAGGTCCTCGAAAAGGACGGGATCCAGGACTGAGTCGAAGGAATGAGCTCTGGATCATGAAGCTCCAGCATCACGGAGTTTCGGGCCTTTCTTGGATGGAAGAGTCACGGGTGGGTGGCAAACGGTCACGTAAAGAAGAGTCCGTGGTGCTACAGGATCTGAACATCTGTGAAGATGATCATGGTCAGCCCAAGGCTCGAACACGTCAAGAACACCGTCTCCAGTGGTCCAGGGCTGATGAAAACAGGTCATGTTCCCATCGATGTTCCAATCCTCAGAGAATCTGAAGATGAAAAAACAAAATCCTATGACAGGGAGCTTCGTGGTTGACCCATCCATGGACCATCAAGCGTTTTGTTCTCAGAGTCGGTGATCATCCGCCCACGGCCCCACGACATGCATGACATTCCGGCACCTAAACAAGACCTCAAATAAATAGACTTCATAAAGATTCGGTCTCCCATGTCAACATCGTCAACATCAACATCCAATACAGGACTTCTGCAGGGAGACTCGGTCAGAGGCAAAGCCTTCCGATCCACTGAAAAGCCCGCCAGTTCAACAACACGAATCATGACAGGGAGACTCTTCCTCGATTTCAGAGCGCGGCCTCAAACCGGCGAGCTCTGAATGGAGTGGAACCTACTAGTATGTTTTCTTGGATTTGTTGGAAGGCATTAACCTCATCACATGGTCGTCGTCTCTTTAGTACCGGCATGTACCGGCCATTCTGCAGTCAGCTGAGGAACTGGAAAGATAACAAGGAGTGAAAGGATTCATTGAAGTACGCACACCCTGTCCAAGAAAAGAGGGTTGTCGCAAAAGTGTTCCACGCTTTGGACAAAAATCCCCTGATGATCAGAAGAATCACACGGCACGGCTCGATAAAAGAAATGATGGCATCCTTGACCGGCACGGTGTATTCTAAACTATTTTAATGGGGAGGTCTCCAACGGGCGAGGGTTCAAGAAAACAAAAATGAATCAAAAACTAATATATTACAGGGGATCAAGAAAAAAAAAACAAAAATGAATCCATTCGAAGCAGTGATAAAAAATATCGCAACAAAAAAACAAACAGGAAATCAACCTATATTTAAATACAAAACTCTTACAAAGCCACCGAAAGCCAAAGCTACCAAAAGCCAAAGTCCACAGCCACCAAAAATCGTGTCTAGAAAGCTATACCCTTTCTACGATCAAAAATTAAAAGCGGCAGGGGGCGCGGGGGAGGGCGCAGCGCCACCCCGGCAATGTAACTTGGTATGACCAAAAAACAGATATCATGGAGTTTCCCCAATGAATCTTCCTTTGATAACTGCAATGGTCTCTGCGCTGGGCATCTGGGAAAAGTTTTGCAACATCGCATTTCAATTTCACAGTGGAAACCACAATGGTCAGGCTCTGGCCCTCTCATTTGTCCAAAAAGCCACCGAAAGCCAACCTTCCTTCCTGCCCTCCTTCCTTCCTGCCCTCCTTCCTTCCTTCGTTCCTTCCTTCCTTAGTTCCTTCCTTCCTTCGTTCCTTTCTTCCTTCCTTTTCTTCCTTTCTTTATTTATGTCTATGCTTTTTTGTTGCTGCATTTTCTTGTTATTGATGCTTTGTTGTTTGTTTGATGCGTCTCCCGTCTCCAACCCATGGGTGGTCCGTGTCCCGAACCATCCAGAGGGCCGTTGTCTGGGGTGGTCTCCCTCATGCCGACATCTCTGACACCGCAGGTTTGGACGGAAAGTTGCTGAAGCTGATTCAGTAGCATTTGGGCCGCTTCACGACCCGTCCGTGAAGGTCCCAAAACACAGAAGGTGGATGGAAGAAAAGTGCGTTCAGATGTTTCAGCAGGGTCTGATCAGCAGGTCCCCTTCTCTTGAAAGGCGATGATCCATGTTTGATCAGGTCCCATGCGCAACCTCCCTCCGACCGGTCCCAAGTCGGTCGAAGGATGAGTGGCACCGAGTTCGGGGATCGCACCCAATATGAGCTAGGCAGACTCCTTGAAGCGTGTGAACATGGCTCACCCTGGGCCACCCTGGGGATGTCCTAGACCGGAGAAATTCACACACCCATGGCTAAGGCTTCGGAACAACTCCCATCAACTCCCCACATCCCCAAAACGCCGGGACGTGACGAAACGGCCTGGAGACATCCAGGAACTGGGAAGATGCCACCTCCTGCGCCGGTTCGGAGCGGTTTGGATGGGTTTGGAGACTCCGGAAGCACCCAAAAGGACCGCCACAGAACCGCCACACAAAACAGAACGCAGGTGCTGGAAGATTGGCGGTGGAGTTTCGCACCAGAAGCCAGACTTGCAGTCAAGCAATTCCTCACTTGAGAATGGGGAGTGAAGATTATACAAGATTTAGAATGCCAGCTTGTTTTGTAGGGCTCAACAAATTTGCAATTGAATGCCTAGATTTCCACCTTCACAGAGGGTTGGGAGAACCAATAGCGGTCATTCCGAAGGTGGACACCCCAGATCCTCCAGTGGCAGCTTCGAAAAGAACTCCAGATCCTCCCCAGTCATCCCCACCACCTTGAGGCGTTGTGTCGAAAGGTGCCTCCT